TTTATATGCCTTATATATATTACATCTGACTCCTATTAATTACTTAATATTAATACGGTATGTAATATTTTATTATATATATACGTATCATATTACATATATAAAAAATTTTACAAAAATGTTAAATTTTGATTTATTTTTTTTTTTTTAACCAACTCAAATTCAACTACATTTCTATTCTTTCTTCGTTTAAACAACTACCAAAATACGATAGAGAGTAACTAATCCAACCTCTACAATCTTGTTTAGTTACCTTGTTGAATGCTTCTTCAATTCTTTCTAGAATTGTTTCTTGGCTGTCAAGAGGATGTTTTGCTACCAAATTTTTCACTTTAGAAAAAACTATTTCTATCGGATTTAAAAAAGGTGAATATGTCGGCAAAAATATGACTTCATGTGGTGTTTTTTAATTATTTGTTTAACTTGTTTGTGGATATTCGCATTATCCATTATAAAAATTTTGCCATTATTTGGGGGAAGAGAACTTATTAACTTTTTTATAAATTTTTAAAAATACTACCAGTAGTTGAACTCAAGCAGCATGAGGTTTTAATGATTTCATTTCCACTCATTGCAGCAATTATTGTAATATTTTTTCCACGTTGAGTAGCTACTTCTTTAATGGCCGGTTTTCCCCGGGGTGCGCATCCCCGAGAATGACAGAGATGCAGGTTGAAATCAGATTCGTCTATATATATTACATCATTGAACATATTAATATTCTCTCGAGATATTCTCTCAACGTACTCTTTCCATTGAACAATAGTAGTATCTTGGTTCCACTTCACAACAACAGGTACTAGCTTCTTTAATGTAAAGCCTAGTTTGACAATATTGCGTGTTACTGTTGATCTGCTTACCTGTATATTTTATATATGTACGGTACGTAAATGTGTATATTAATTACAGTAAATATATTGATTTATAACAAGTGAACTCTGGCCTGTAAGCTAGTTAACATACTAGTATACAGTCCAGATTTTATTCCGTTTTATAATATTATATACATACTTTTAGATTGGAAAACCTTTCAATAAGATTCTGATATAATTCGTTAATAGTAATAGTTGGGTTTATTTCCATTAGTTCTTTTAAAAAGAATCTATGCATATCATTTAAAAGCGATCTCTTATCGCCACCTCGTAGCTTAAGAACTATCTATTATCCTCATCGAATCTTTTTACAATACTTTGAATTGTTAAGGGTGCAAGATGAAAAAGGTAAGAAACTTTAACTATTGGAATACATTGGTTATTAACCATGTTAACAATTTTTTCTCGTATATCAGAAGTAGTTTTTCTATATGGATATCTTTGATTTCTCATGGTCAAATTTGTAGTTAGTAAAATATAAGTGTCGTTAAAAGAAAATCTGACAATTTAAATATGATTTATATTTAAATTTTCTGGTTTTCTTTTAGCGACACTTATATATTATAATTGCATTAATTAATATTATTTTAAGGTATATAATTATTATATATTTTTGTATATACAGTGCATGTAGTTACATAAATTAATATTATTTTAAGATTATAATACATGCATGATTATATAGTTTTCCATGAACCCATACTTAGTAAAGGGAATGATAATCGATGATAAGAAGCTAAATGACAAGGATCGAATTAGAATGTCTAGGTACTGCAGTGCATAATTCTGCTTATGCTAAAAATAATTTTTTATATTGTTCCCATCAGAGATCCATGATTTAATCACTTTCTAAATCAAATTACAATGTAAAAAGTATCTTTAACGTAAGTAGAATTATGCACCATAGTACCTGGACACTCTAGATTGAACATAACGAATATATCACATGGTAATTCAGAATTATGATGGGAATTACAATATTGGGCAGCATTATCATATGGGCAGAAATCTTCAATTTAGTAATTAGTTTGTGATTATTTAAATTGAATAATGAGATTAAATAAGATTTGAGCCAATAATATATATGATACAGTGTGAT